GAAGAGCACACCGGCTGGGGTTTCCTTCCAAGATCCAAGCAGGGGACACATCCTGCGGAGGGGGAGGGGCGGGAGGTGGCACAAGTCCCAAAATCCCCCAAACTAGTCCAGGACTGGTTGGGGGATTCTGGGACTTAAAGTCTCCTCCCAAGCAAGTGGATGTTTTAGTTTAAAGGCCCAAGAAAGGGGGGGGGAGGTTTTTTTAAAAAAATCTCTGGGGAACGCCCCCCCCATCTCTTGATTTCCTAAAATGTATCTAGAGTATCTAATTTCTGAACCGCCCCTCTGGGTACCCGGCTATTCTGGGTGGTTCACAACACAAGGGCACGGGAGCAGAGGCTCCGCACGTCTATTGCACCTCTTTTTTTCAGCTGTTGCATTTTTTTTTTGAGAGAGAGAGAGAGAGCGATGCCCTTCCATCATCAAGCCGAATGGAAAACTGCTGCATCAAATTGGCTAGGCGACCCAGGGGATAACTTGGGGGCCGGTGTTTTGGGGGCTTTGTGGAAGGCTGCGCCTTTATCCCCCCCCCCGCCCTTCCACTGGCCCTGTTTTCTGGCTTTCAACCACAGTCTGTTGGAGAGGGAACTCAAGCCATCCCTTTGCCTCACTGATGATGAACTCTTTTGCTCCAACACAATCCATCTGCCGGCTAATTTTTGCACTTCGGGCTGGTGCAAAAGAGCAGGTCCGTTTTAAAAAGGTGGCAAGCTGTCCTCCTACCTTGGATGTGGGGGTGGTGGGAAACTGGTATTAAAATAATTGTGCATGATTTATTCGTCACGAAGGCAATAAAAAGTTGCATTAGCAAAACAGCAACCTATTAAATTTAAATTTATTCACCAAATAAATAAATAAAGGAGTTGTAGGACTTTTAAAGGAACTGCAAAAAAAAGAGGTCCCTAACTCAATACAATGTATTCAAAGATGTAGCACCAGGACCTTAGAAGGCGCAGAAGCCCCGCCCCTTTCAGGTCAGGAAAGCCCCCTCGCCATGGAAACGCCTCGCTCTTCTCGCGAAAGGCATGCTGGGAAGGATAGTCCGGCGGAGGCCGCCGCCAAGGCTGGCGAATTGGCAGGAGAACTGCGTTTCCCAGCGTGCCCCGCGGCCGCGCCTGCGCGTTGTTAGTCTCCTACTGCCCTGTCAAGGGATGGTGGTGGTTGGTTTTGCTGAGGGGGAAGCGAAGGAGCTCTGTGGCAGGCGGGAAGGAGGACGAGGC